ATAAAGTACATTTGTTGCCAAAAAAAAAAAAAAAAAAACGTGTGAAAATATTTAACTTTAAGTTTAACTTCAACTAACAAAAACTCTTATACCTCAAAAATGCTAATTTACTTATAATTAAACTTACAAGTAATTTACAATTTTAACCTATAATTTGACACTGCACACACTTCAAAGAAAACCACCCTATGTTCGGTAAGTAGTACTAATAAAACACGATAAAAATTTTAACATATTTTTCTTCCTTGATACTATTCAATGATACTCATCCTCCACAGCTCCACCAAACATGTCATTAAGGTACCGACTACAGAATGGAACAAACATGCTTAATTTTACTGTTACATGAAAGTCTAAATAGTTTGATCAAATTTGATAGAAAGCATGCCAAGAATGAAAGGTCTAATAACTGAAAAATATAAGCAGTCTGCCCCCACACCAGCAGCTTCTAATATCTACTATAACTATAAAATTAGAAACCGACATCTTTAAATTCAAAAGGTTAATGAGATTCTGCCATCTTCCACTTTTCTAAAAATTGTTACCAGCTTCTGAAATTTTGGTGGTAGAAACATAAAACTCAGTCTTGTATTCCTCGATTGTGAGGATTGTGGAGCAGGAGATCGACAATGACAACAAAAGGCACGCTAAGGGACAGCCCTGTTTCAGCAGTGAAGTACATACTGATCCCTATGAGCTCTTCTTAACTTCTTTCCCCCTAATTAAAGAAAATTTAAGAAGAAACATTAGTCAGCTATTTCCAAAAATACAAGATAGCCCAAATCTTTCTTGACAAATTGCACTTACTAGATTCTATCCTAAAATGCTTCCAAGGGTATCCAAAGGGGGTAAATCCTCAACATGCCCAAGCTTTCATAAACCAAATTCAATATTGTATTCATAAATTGAATCTTATAAGAGGATAGTGCTGACCTTAATGGAAAACTGTGATTTTCAGCCGCTTCCTTTTCTACATCATCCAGAGCAAACCATTTCTCATGTACTGTAAGAGGATCCTCCACCCTTCCAATATCTATATTAAAGAAGAAAAATGAAGTCCATTGAAAAGCCAGCTAACTCAGAATTCAAGATCGTGCACAGATAATGTACCTTGATGTAGTATGTCAGATTTGCTGGAACAGCAGCTTAATCTCCAATATGAATGACCATTAGGCGCCATGAAGATCGGTTCTATTCTAACAGCATCTGACACTTGATTCCCTGTAAATTGAATTGAAAACCAGACAAGTTATCATGCCTACTGGTAACCTTAATTAAGAAACATCATTGCACAGGAATATTATGAGCGTTAGGTTCATATTTCAAGTTCTTCTGTTTATAAGCATATGGATCAAACTCCTTTAATCAAGGAAATACTCTTGTTTTAGGGTTTATGGAGTTACAAAAGAACAGAGAGGATTGATCAATCTTCAGAACTTGAGATATAAGAAAACAACGGATACAATCATTCAGATTGAGAAGACAGGACACTGATGCATGAACTTTCTGAAATGTTACAAGCATTGTTTTGAAATGTACAAACGAATATATCATTTATTTTCCTAATCTTACTTGACATCTACAAAAGATCAAACACATATAGTTTAAAATTTAAGCTAGTGTTTGAAAAGGCACATGAACATCAACAAGACAATGAAACAAGTGTCTGTCTTTATTTTGAATGTCGTGTTTATTTCTAATTAATAACATTTAAATGTATTGACAAATTGAAGCCTTATCCCTTGCAAGAGCGATTCACAACTTACTCTTTGAGAACATGCCTTGTGACTCAAGCACCTTGGCATGAGCATGTGCTGCTTCAGATTTAATTTTGGAAAGAATAGCTTCATGCTCCAAAATTGAAAGTGGGGCACCATGCTTTGCAATAATTGCTTTTGCAATATCATCTTTCATTTTCTGTTTCAAACCCTTCTCCTGCATAAAATATTATATTCCATCACCAAAAAAAAAAAAAAAAAAAAA